AGCCTTAAAGCTGAGCTTTAATCTGCTTCACCTTCATTAATCTGCTCAGTTTCCTACTCTTCACTTTTCCGGTGGATAGCGCTATCCACCGCAAAAATATGTAGTATACTCAGGGGCGGCAGTTCCTTTTTCCTTTTTTCCGCCCCGCCAACATTTCGCGTGCCTTTTCCCAATATCTGAGAGCCTGGAGGAAAAACTAATTTTCATTCTACTATAAGTTTTAGGGAGAACAGAAGCAGACACAAGAATGATCACAATGTTGTGATCAAGAAAGGGCTTAACCTCCTTTAATAAATATAACAGTGCTAACTTTTCTGGTGAAAACAAAAGTACAATGCAGCTTTCCGGGGTGTCTATTTGTGGAAAAATATGTGAAAAAAAAAACTTTAAAAATCTAATACTCATAGTCGTTCTTGTCCTTGAATCTTAAAGTCTCTGATGTTTTACAAAAGTAGGTGGGTTAACAACAGAAACAGGCAGCAAAGACATAAATTTGTGTGGTGGTTAAGTGTTGACTAGGTGGCATATATTACACTGAAACTGGCAAAAAGGGCCATTTTTTGCACAACAACGTCCCCTTGCTGAATGGCAAACAGCACAGTGGGACCTCGAAAGTAAGGATTCATATAAGCTTTTTGAATGATGTATAATCACTTTGTTTTTCTTTCCCCTCTGTGCCGTTTGCCATCCAGCAAGGTGTTTTTTTGTGCCATGTGACTGTTCCGTGCAAAGGGCCCATTGTCAGATGCCGGATTACTTTGACTGGGCTGTACTGCCGCTATGAATTCAACGTTTCTTAGTCCATTGTGAATATTCTTGATGCAATATCAGAAATGATCCAATCAATGCCATCCAACAGCTTTTCTCCTGTTACAGCGCTGCACCACTGAATGTTCCAGTGATGTGTCTTGATGGCTTCCAGATTAAGGGCCTACAAAAAGGAAACAAATACAGCGGTAAACAGTTAGAGTACATTAACCCCTAGCCATGTTTGGTGCCATTCCCCACAAGCTATTGTGGAGTCATACCGAGTGAGCATGGGTAATGGCAAACTGATCGTTTTGATTCAAGTTGTTTTGATGGAAACTCAAGCATTGAAATTACATAAAAATTTTGATCACTTCAAGTATAATCTGCACATGAATGAGAAAAACATTAATTTTGGGCTGAATATTCTTTGTTCCTTAAGCCAAGCACACGAAACTATTTGCACCTTGACTGAATAAACTTGTATCGAAATGACTTGTATCAGAATGAGTTTGTATCAAAATGACCGATAAACCTTGGTAATGCTTTGTTGTGAGAACTTGCTTCCACCTAATGTGATGCTGGTTATAGTCCAAGGGTATAAGACAGGTGGAATGGCAACAAATGACAAAGGATTGAAGGACTGAAACTCAATGACAGCAGCAAAGACAACCACAAAATAATAAAATCTATTTTAGTACACAGGGAGATGACTTCCTCTTCAAATGTGAAATTCAGACTAGGCGCATAGATTCTCCCCTAACCTCCATCTCCCTTATCCATAAAAGGACCTTGAGATATTATATTATCTACTAATTCATCTGAAACACTAGAGAATTACCTTAAGGTGCAACTGATCTACAAACATACAACTCATCAGGCACAATTAAACTTACATCTTTAATCTCTTCTGCTGATAATGCACCAGGAAGGTCCTGCTTGTTTGCAAAAACTAACAGCGTAGCACCCGCAAGCCTCTAGTTAAGCAAAAAAACAAATCAACAGTCAGTACCCACAAGATTGCCTGTTGAGGTCAATGTCTCGGTTTTGGTTTTTACAAATCAAACAAATGCCAAGTGAAAAATACAGTCAATTCTCAATTTGCTGACACCTCGTGATTTTAGACACTCAGACACGCAGCAAGTTAATCAACGGCAAAATAAATTAAGATGTTTTGATGAAATTAACCCCTATTATAGACTCTCGCAATCAAGGATGCTACCTTGAAGTCCCAAGGGGTTTAAGTCAATAAACAGGGATCCATATTCCCATTTGTCTGGTTGTCCCAGACGACTACAATCTCGTAACTTCAAAAGTCTCCCTTGGGACCAGTGAGGTTTTACTCAACCACAAAATCTTTTGAAAAATTCTTATAAGATTTTATACATTTTCCCTGTGTTCTGATTACTTCTCATCCCTGATGGTGTAGAATTTATCTACGAAACAATTGCAGGCTCAGTTTTTTGTGAGGCCATTCACAGAAAACATGACATTACTCATCAAGATGCACGGCATTTTTTCCACAGAAAAAAAGGTGAAGCAGAAGCCGGTGCCTTATAAGAATCAAGATGTGACAGTTTATAGTAGACGTTTCGCTGCCTTCAACGGAAAAAAGTGGTGACACAGGAGCCGCTGCCTTATATGGGAGAAAACATATTCTATAAGCGCACCATAAAAAAAAAACTGACTGACCGTGGTGTGGCTACTTGTAAAACGTAAATAAACTGTGTTTAGCTTAGGCATGTAGCCTGTTGTACTCAACAGTTCAGTTAAAACCCTTTCTTTGCAACTATAATGGCAATAAAATGCTAATCAGAGATGTTCAAGTTGCACACAATTTTTTCTCATTCTTTTACATAATTCTGCACTTTTGTCCCAGCGGGCAACCCAAATAAAATTTGTAACCAAACAAGTATGTCATCAGGCTTACTTGCCCGGCTGACGACTCTGAGAAAAAACGAATAAACATGTGGTACCTCTTCTAGAAGGAGTCCCTTTAATTCCTCTTTGCAATCAGCAAGTCTGCGTCTGTCAGCACTGTCCACTACCCATATTAAGCCATCAGTGCTTTCAAAGTAATTTCTCCAGTATGAGCGAAGGGACTTCTGTCCACCAACATCCCAAATATTTAACTTAAATCTGTGGGTGGCAATAGATTGTTTTTCTATCAATGAGGGAAAGTTCACATTTTACCCATATACAGTGTAGCAGTTGCAGTGATTTGGTGTACATGTGGCATTAAAAATGTTCATGTTTTTAAAAAGTGATGGTGACATAAGTTGCATGGCCCTTAGCTTGCTGTCACACCTTAAACCCTTCATGGCCTACTAGTTGGAAGTACAGTCCATGACAGTGAGTACAATATCTCCGTCTATATTTTCAACATCGGTTTCGGAGATTACTACTAGTCTGGCTGTAGTATTTCAAAACTTTGAGAGAATTTAAAGTGCCCAGGGTTTGGAAAACTAATGCAACCATACTTAAAAACCTTGAAGTGTTTTCCTATTGTACCAGTCAAAGCGAAGCTTCAACATCCCCTCCCAAGCAACCACCAGGGTATAAATTTCCAATACATGTAGGTCAATTTAAGGTGATCAAATGCCCCACCCTGGGAAAATTACAAAGTTTGTGTGATTTATGCCAATCCACCATGACGCCACAACCTTGCCCTTTGAAATCATCTAATCTCCCTTTGTCCTCCTACAAGCTCCAAGACATACATACATTACATGTATCATGTGAAATTAAAGCTAAGGTTCAAGTTCCCCAACCCTTAACCATGGTTACCAAATTTCCCACCCTCATGAAAATTATGACAATCAAATTTCCTCCACCACAGAACGAAAAAGTGTTAAATGCCCTAGGTATGCCCAAGTGGGGGAGGGCAGGGGGGTGCTGAAGCTTCGATTTGACAGATGTGAAGTAGAAGAAAAATTTCTGATGATCTTCACGCAGGTCATACTCACTCTCTATGCTCAAGGGTTTTGATGTTAAATCCTAACGTGGGTTCAATTGTGTTAATATCTTCCCCATTAAACTTCTTTAAAATTGTTGTTTTGCCAGCGTTGTCAAGACCTCTGTCAACTGTGTCAAGGAAGTGACATCAATACTAATTTTCTAACATAAGCTTTTAGCTCCTAATAGACATGGTCACAGTTTTGGAACCGATCTTGACAAGTAGGAAACCATGTGAGAAAATACAGTGTTTCTATGAGAATCTCAGTGTATGTCGAATAATATTTCTATCAAACAGCTGTTCTGAAAAAAATATGAATTGTTGAGCTTCACTCCTTTCGATTCTACTGAAAAAAGGTGATTTTCCTGGGAAAAATTGCAGAGGCAAGTACAGTTGCATATGGATGATCTAAAGCAAGCATCTGGACAAATTTAAGCCCAGTTACGGCCCCCAAAATTTGTCAGTAAAATCTTTTGCTGTGTAACTTTAGTTTGCAATTCATATTTTTTTCAGAACAGCCATTTTTCGGAAATCATTCAACATGACATTCTCTTACAAACACTGAAATTTTTTTTCATGGGGGTGCCTACTTGTCAAGCCCGGGGGCTTCCATATGAAAGGGGTGGGGATGCTGGTCGGAAATTTTGAATTAACCCCCTAAAGGAGACCAATCTCGACATGGCCCATCCTTTTTTTGACCCCTAAAAAAGACCATTTAAAACTCTGATTACATGAATCGGGGAAACAAAACAAATTGAAAATGAATAATTTTTTAATGTGTCTTCACGTGCAACCCTGAATGAGACGTTTATGGCTAAATATGGCGTTTAGCCCAGAACACCCCAAGTGAGACCAAAATCCGAAATTGACAACCCTAAGCGAGACGACAAGCATCCCCGCCCCTTTGATACGGAGTCCCCCCCCCTCCCAGCCCGGGTCGTCAAGATGGCTTCCAAAACCGTGACAAGCACTGACAAGGTCTATTGGCCTCACAACATTGATGAATATCCACCACTTTTTTCCAGATCACTGAATGAGAACGCTAAATTTCAAAGGCGTCCTTCTAGAAAACCTTGAGAGATTCTTTGATGACTGGAAAGGTTTAACCTTAATTCTAAATTAAAATCTCTTTCTTTTGACGTTTGGTTTAATTTACCAAAAGGTTTATACTAAGGATACAGCATTAAAATTCTCATCTCCTTCTCCTTTTGTTTCATCTTCTTTAAAATAGTCAGCAACCCCATGGTTTTCACCCTCTTTATCGTCCTCGTTCAGTGACACAGCGATGTTTTAATGCCATAACAACTGACTCAGCCAAAAAGCAAATCCTCCATTTTCCTTGCTCAATGTCACACTTCGGTGCCAATACATGAAGAGAGTTACTTAGCATTTTCGCACCGCATACCAGTTTATATTTTTCTCAAATAATCCAAGATGGCGGCCGATGGCCGGACTGGCGTTCGCCTGTCGGTTGCTTCACAGTTCTTCAATAACGCAGATGTTGACACTCTTGTCGCTTCAGGAGAGTATTCTGCTGAAGATTCAACGTCAGAGAAGGTGAGTTGCTGAAAGAGCAAGGCACCAAGAAATTTTTGGAATTAATTTCTTGCACGGCACGTGCGTATGGAAACAGCGCTCTTACAGCATGGTACACTTCAGTGTTTTAACTTGTCTGAAACATCAAGCCTGAGTTATTTATCAAAGGAAAAATATTTTTTTAAAAAAATTGCCAGACGTAAAATGATATGTCTTCTGTGTTTGAAACAATGTAGTAGTAAGCTCAGAGGAAACAAAATACCCATCATTTTGAAATCGTGCTTACAATCACATAGCTTTAATTAAAACATGTACTTTATTTATTCAGGTGATTGACTTACTTAATCAAGCCCAACTTGAAAAGGAAAATAAATTGAATTGCTTGAAACAGGTATGACTTAACCTTGTGTGTTTTACTTCTAAAGAAATAAACATGCATTGTCAGACAATGTCATTAAGGATTACTGTACTGCCAGATCAAAAAAATATGAGTGTTTGTGTCTTTATTATTTGTTTATTTTGATTTTTCGTTAAATTCAAAGGTTTTAATAGTAGCCCTTAATAAACATGTTACATCAGATGAGCAAATTTTGGCTGGTGCTCAAATTACCAAATAGAAGAAAAATGTTCACTTGCCAAAAATCGGCCTGTTAAAGCAGGGGGGAGATATAAGCATTTTTATGTGAATCTTGTTATTGTCCAATGACTCCTTTTTTATCTTGCTCTTTATGAATGTGCCATTTAATCCCCAGCCTGCAAATACAGCCATTTCTCCTAGCTCCTCACTGCCAGGGACATTTCGCCAGAAGAACCTCTGTGAATCAGCGACAGAAATTCCATACTGTTGATGTAAATCAATGTTTACATAATACATTTGCCAGTTATGGGGTTCCAAATGTAAAATCTGTTTGATTTTATGTTTCTCCTGGTCGATTATGGTAAAGTTTTGTGAACTTTTGCAAACGAGCTCCAGCAAAACTCCGATGCTTTTTCTAAAGAATAATATATTTTAGGAATATTGACTGATTTGTAGTAGATTCATCACGTTTACATTTGACCTTTGTGGCCTTTTGTCTTTTTTCTGTCATTCGTGAACAATAATGTAAAACAATTTAACCACTATGTCAACCAATCAGAGCTCCTGACCAGACTCCAGACAGATTTTTGGTCATCAGTATGGAATTTCTGTCACCGAGTCTCAGACATTCCTCCTGACAAAGTTTCCTTAGCAGTGAAATGCAAGGAGAAACAGCTGTATTTGCAGGTTATTTAATCCCATTATTTCACAAAATTAATTTGAGTTTTTGTGATGTCACACTTGTCTAACCAATACCACTTCTTTTTAGAATGTTTTTGTGACTGTTCATGTAAAGCTGGATGTGCATAATAACCATAACCTTTGTTACATTGATTGTTCCCCAGATACATGTATTTGATCAACTCCCTTATCACAGTCTAACAACACAATAATTCACCACTGCTCAGGACTAAGTTCTCATTACTAAATTCTCCCCTGCAGGTTCAAGAGTTTATTGTGAATAAAGATCCTACACTGCTGGATAATTTTCTAGATGTAAGTATGTTAAGTAATTTATTATTGGTCTATCTCCCTGTAATAATGTACAGCTGTAGCGTGCACAGATTCTGTTATAACAGGCAAGGTCAATTCAAAGCTTCTGTTTCCCTAACAATGGCGACAATAATACTTTGGATCAAAACCCACCAATCATGAGTACATAATTATCATGATACACTGTACCCCAATCACTAGCAAACATGGTGGCACAATGTAATAATTATAGTCCCACTCAGTAAAATTTGCTGAGTGGGACTATTATTAGTACCACCGGATGGTACATGTATATATACATGGTGTTGAACATTTAATGAAGACCTACATTGTGCAGTGAAAATCATGTCACTATCAACTGGTTGATTATCACGAGACAAATGATAAGTGGTCGTACAGTAAAATAATATTATCATTCATGACATTCTAATTCAATTTGTTGATTGTCTCATTCCAGGAAATACTAGTTTTTCAGCAGGACAGATCAGCAGATGTGCGTCGATTTGTTGTTGGATTCATTGAGGAAGCATGGTAAATTAATGTCGATATGATACATGCAATAAATTGTTGACAGTTCATATACCACTGAACAACATGTCAGGACAGGAAAAAAAATTAAATCCACTTGTCCAGTGGGCAAGTGAATTTCAGTTTTCACTTGCCCCCACTTAAAGTATTATTGCCTGAAGAGAACACAATGCCTTATTATATATACTGGAGTTCTAATATAAGTCGCTCTCTATATTATAAGTTATTGATTATAACAAGGTAGGTAAGACCTAAACTACACTATAGTACTTTTAATGCTGTGCCAGGTACAGAGTAACTACTGGAAGAAGAGTAACACAAGCTGCAAGCAAATTTGCTCTTGGATTTTGATTTAAATTAATTCATGCTTTCAATTCATTGTGTTACTCATCTTGAAGTCTTCAGGTTTGAGATAGTTTGTCTGGAAAAAATCATTTACAGTGTACCAAGCTGACACTTGCAGACAGGCTCACACGACCACTGAGGCTAATTTCACCTGCCCACTGGGCCACCAAACTTCTATTTTTACTTGCCCAAGATCAACATTTATTTGCCCAGCGCAGTGGAACCTGGGTTTTTTCCTGCCCTGTATGTTAACAGTCTTTTTTGAGTTTTATAATTGCATTATAAGTAAGTGCGGCCAATTCTCATTACACATGAAAAATACTGAAGTATTATGCTACAGGTTAAGATTTTCACATGAATTTGTGACACAGCATTGTTTGTTGCTGATTATCAGAGATTCTGAGTGAAATGAACAAATAATGTTACTTGGTAAAAGAGCAAGGATGCTCTAGAGAGCCTCTATTCTCTAAAGAGGAACAAGCCTTGGTCACCACTGTTCTCTTTTCATTTAGCAGTTTTATTGGTATATCTTTTACTTTTTTCCAAACCTTCAGCAAGAAAGATATCGAACTGCTGAGTAAAGTGCAAAATACTTTGGCATTTATGCTGAACGATGACAATGTCGCAGTGCAGAAACGAGTCATGCTGTGTGTTACACAGCTCTACAAGTTTGCTTTACAGGTTAGTACATGTAGATTATAGCCATTGCTAGTTGAATGTTAAACCGCTAGATTCTCCTTCAAATCAGCTTTTGTTTGCTGGTGAAAAACTGGAGAATTAGGCATGAGATCATCAGTCACATTTTGATTGCTAGTTTTGCTGAAAAAAATGCAACAATCACACAATCCTTCCAGCGACAATAGCTGAAATACACCTAAATTCTATTCCCAGGTAGGCACTGTTCTTAGGTACAGCTATACACATGTATGTAGTAAATAATAGCTCAAGACAAATAACATTGTTTGTGAAATCACCCCCTAAGTAAATGTAGAAGGTCATGTACATGTAAGTTAACTTCTAAATACTTTACAACACAAGGGTGTTCACTGTACAAGCATTAATGAAAATGCAGCAAATGTTTCCATACATATGTGCATTAATATACTGTACACCTGTCTAATGCAATGCAAATTACAGCTGTACAATATTACAGGGCGTTACCAATCGATGAAACCGATGATCGGAAAATCAATCGATCAATTGATGACAATCGATGCCAATTAATCGATTGATATCGATAATCGATGAACAATCGATGCTCGGGTTTTATGTGATTATCGATTTCATCGATTATCAATTCTTATCGATTATCAATGCCAATCGATCAGTTAATTGTCATCGATTGGTTTTCATTTTTTATGCGTTTTATTTTCAGTCAAGATTTCCAAAAACACGGTCTCTTTATGCATTTTAATGATGAAAACTGCGATAAAACTTTAATTTTTCTCACAACGGTGATTGATATATCGTGGAGAACATGGGGATACGATTTTATGACAAAATCCATTTTCAATAAGGCATCAAATTGATGAATTGTGATGAAACTGTGGCAAAGAATAACCAATATACGCCAGGACAATTAAGCCTGCAGTGAACAAAATTCATTTTTTGCCCAGTTTACTTTGTGCACCTTTGTTGTGACAAACAAGTAATAAAGTGATTGCTGAAGTCTATCCACGTTGTTTCTGGTTTATTTTATTACAGTTCAGTATAATTACATCACCCACCATTCAGAGCTGACTCGTCCCCAGGCGTCTCTCCATCGCCAGACTAAGAGACGGTAGGGAAAGATGTCAGCATTCTCGCAGTTCGTCTAGATATCTTTAAACACATAACACTACACTTAATTATTCTCAGAAATTTTACACGGATAAATCAGATAATAATAATTTCATCTTGCACGGCGTGTGGACAGGACCTGTTGGAAAAATAGGAAATAGTGGAAATATAAAATTCCTAAAAATTCATATCAACCAGATATCAACAGTATAAAGGACAGCGAAAGGAACAGCTAAGCGAAAAGGTGTGTTGTTGACTTGCGTTTCTTCAAAACACTGTTTCAAAGGGTGTTTCTGTTGTTGATTTTTGAAAACATGCAACAGCATACGAACAATCCGGTGAACGAATTCAAATGTCAAACATTTGTGCGTACTGCGAGTGCGTATACGTACAGGCTGGAACATGTGGGATACCGAGATTTTTTCAACGCCAATCGATGACAATCGATGAGTTGCGACCACTTTTGTGTGATTATCGATTGGTCATCGATTGGCCGATGCCAATCGATGCCAATTAACTAACAAGGCATCGATTGTCATCGATTGATCGATTGATTTTCCGATCATCGGTTTCATCGATTGGTAACGCCCTGAATATTATGTTGTTTCAATATAGCTTTACAATTGTACTTAAATTTTCTTAAGAATTGAACATGTGAAATTGTTCTATTCTGTCTTCAGTACATTTGCAAACATAAGGCAGTATCAGAAGAAGTGGAACACATGTGGGAGGTGAGAAAACCTTAAAACTAAAGTGCTTATGGAACAATTTGGTTTCAGTGAAAACACTAATTCAACCTTTCAATTTCTAGTTAAATTATTATTCCAGTTGCTGGGATAATTAAATCAATCCTGCCTTTCATATTTCCCAACTTTTGTGTCACTTCATTTTTTTAAATGTGACATATTGCAAGTACCTCAGACTACCACACTTTACAAGTTACTCCACTCACTGAGGGAAATTCTTGCCTATTAACCATTCCAACAACTGGGCTGTGATATCCTACAGGCCAATTCTGTAAATGGAATGTAATTAGCATGTGTTAGTATGCAGCTACTTTTGGCCATGGGACCTGCAGCTCTCTTGTTACATTCACTTTATAATTTCATTTAATAATAATTACATCAAGATTTATCTATTCAGTTGTTATTTATTCTTGTATTTCTCTTGTTTACAGCTCCTTATTCAGATCAAAGAACAGATCATTGATATGTTGGAGTCTGAAAATGATGGGTAAGTGTCTTTGCTTGATGTAAAAGAATTAATTGACTTAACATGTTCTGACTGCAATGCAGTTTTCTTTGTGTAATACTGAAAACTTAGTGAATGGCACTTGAAACCTTTGCAAACCAACACAAGAAAATCTTCAGCACTTGTTACTAACTACATGTAGTTAGGACAAAAATTGTTAGTAATTTATGTACCAGAGTGGCATGATTCTAATAACTATTTTAAACTTTGTATGAACCAGCAATTTGTACTGCATACCCTGACTACGTCCCACGATTTTATGGCATAACATGCAAGAAGTAAATACACTCAACTCCCTTTATAGCAGACATTGTAGGCACCTTGAGTTAGTGTCCTCATGATTGAGAGTCTGTAATAGCGGGAGTTTATTTCAGTCAAACATTTTGCCTGGGATTTAGCTGCTGTCTGTATTATCAGGGTGTCCGTTATAGCAGGGTGTCCGCAAGGCAAGAGTTGAGTGTAATGTACATGTTGTATTCTAATCCTTAATGACATTTTTGAAGTTTCTGTCCAAGAGGTTAACAGTTCTTGAAGCTCATAAAACAATACCACATCACATCACATAACATAACACCTCTAAATTGGCAATTCAAACCCTCAAAGTACTGGGTCCCTTAATCTGCTTTAAAAAAAGACAAATTGTACACTGTAGCATTATAGTTTCTGTAATAAGATACCTCTGCCAGCTAGAAGCTAAGTTTTGGTAGGTTTGGCAATGACCAACATCTCTGTCTTCTGAATGTTGTTGTTTTAGAATCAGAACTCATGCAATAAAGTTTATCGAGATGCTAGTGTTGGTACAGTCACTTAAGTCTCAGGTAATAATACTACTTTTACCTAGTTAGTTAGAGCTCTCCTGTAAATCACCTTAATGGACTTTGGCTTATTTCAGGATATCTATTGCAAATTCTTGTGAAGGCATGGTACATGTATTCTTTTACATGTACAATGTACTACTTTAATGTCTGATATTTCATTCACAAATCCAAAGTCAACCTTTTGATATCCTTCTCTTAGTGCTCTTTGTAGAGGTAAAAGATGTAAATTTTCAGCAATCTAGTTTTGGTCAGTCTCTTTCGCTACTGCCAGCATAATGGTAGTCAATACATTTCTTTATGAATTTTAGGATTCTGAGTCCCTTAAGAAAGGTGAAGCAGACATCTCATTGGAAATAGTTCCCAGGAATCACCCACTCATTAAGATGACTGAACTCAGAGAAGAAGGAGGATCCATGTTAGAAACCCTGCTTACACTTATTGCTTCCCACACCATTTCCAGGTTGGTAAACTGGTGTTGTCACAGTCATGGACTGTTTACCCCAACAAATCAAAACATTCCCCTTAACCTTATAAAGTTGTTTGTTATCAACAGGAAACCACAAAACAAATCAAAAATTAATGTGAATTTATTGTTGTTTGTATCTTCTTAGTGTCAACCTGATGGCTGCTCTTGGATCCTTGTCTGCTATTGCTCGTCAAAGACCTGCTTTTATGGCAATTGTCGTCCAAGCATTTGAATCTCTGCATGGTATTGTTAGACTAAGCTATAACTACAGTGAATGTGTAACAGGCAAAATGTTGTCCTCTAAATTAACCCTCACTCTTACGAGTGACTGACATCATTCTCCCAACATCAACATTACATTATCAAGGGAAACGTTTATAAGAATTACTGAAATGATCACCAATAGGAAAATGCTATGATCTTTTTCTCAAATTCTTTCAACCTACAGCTGTATTCTTTAAGGAGATGGAAGAAAATTTGTGTGAAGAATTTATACCTGGATATAGGTCCTCAGAGGATTAAGGATTGTGTTACAACAAAATACAATACATGTATTTTTCACATAATATTTTGTAATGTTATCATTGATCTTTTTTGTGTCCTGTACTAACAGTCTTCTTAGTGATGTATCTTATTTATTACTCTGTGATTTGCAGCTAATCTTCCCACTTCACTGAGCAAATCTCAAGTTAGCAGTGTTAGAAAAAATCTTAAGGTATTGTAAAGTTAATGATTTATAGCTTAAATGTAAGCTGTATACTGCACAAAAAATGCTTCTTAGGTCAAGAAAATACATTCTGCTAAGAAATCACGAGAGCGAATTCTTGGAACTAGTCTCCCACAATATACACAACATTCATGAAGATGTATTCATGCAAACCTGTTCGTCCCCATCCAAGAAATTATTCAAGTATTCTTTCTTCTTGTTTCTCTTGTCTTTCCAGCTTCATCTAATGAGCTTGTTGAAACATCCTTCTTCAGGTAATTAAGCACTGAATAATAATTTTAGTATTCTTGGATTTTCTGTGAGTGAGCTAAAGGAGCTTTCATGTACTTTACATTTGTATTATTCTAGTAATGGCAACAGTTTGGTTGTATTTGAACGAGCAAAAAACCTTTGCTTGTCCATTAATCAACTTTCAATGAAGAGGCCCTGTCCTGGGGGGTTTTTCCTAACTTTCAGCCACAACACAATACTGGTGACACCTTGGATGCAGATGAAAACACCAAAATCAAATTCTCTCACAAGGAAAGATTGATTTATACACTACTGTTTTTTGTGGCCTGTAATTACAGCTTCCTCTCAATATTTTGCACCAGAAGGGAAAAAAATCCCTTTCACTGGGAGTGAGGTGCCTGAAGTTTATTCATCATCTTCCTGGTTATTTTGTTTCCCTTTGGAAATGTTGCTTCTTCTACATTTCCTGAAGACTTAACATGGAAAAGTGTCTTTTCGTTTTGGCTCGTTTTCCACGTTTTGGTTATTCTGATCATTTTGTTTTGTTTTTCAGTGGAGTTTCTTCCTCAAATCACAACACTTCTAACAGATCTTGGAGCATCACAGGCTGAGGTCAGTTGAAAAAATAAGGATCATTTTAATCACAAAATCCCTTTAATACTTTACATGCACATGTGAATGTACTGCCATCTTTGAAACGCACGCAGCTATTGTGGTCAACAAACGTCTAAATTACATTTAGCAAAATTAAAAAATGGCTGAAGCTTTACAAGTAGTATTGTTGGATGGCCTCTTTGCTTGTACAGTGTACAGCCACGCATGCCATAGTTTAATATCCTTTGCTGCAGATGCCGTTTTCCTTCTTTACCTCGCTGTATATTCAGGGGGGCAAAGAAAATCATTTTTACAGCTTGCCATTTGGGCAAGCTGAAGAAAGCATTTACTAGCCCAAACGTCATTTCAACTAGTCCCAAAAGCTTTCTGACGAGCAGAATTGATTTCACAGTTCTTCCTCAGTTTGAATTCCTCAAAAATCATTACTTGCCCGTCGGGCAAGTTAAGAACAGAATTCGCCACTTTCTTTGCACGCTGACATTGTAAAACAGGTAGCGATTTACCTCATAGAGATGCGTTGAATTGTCAAAATTTTTCTTATCCCAGAGGTTCCAAATTTTGCACTCACAGATTTGTTAAATTGTCAAAGTCGTTCTTACTCCAGAGGTTCAAAAATTTTGCACGCATATTTTGAGGTCTTTTCTTGTTACAAAAATTTGCCATTTTAACTTAATACATGTAATTGTTTATCTATAATTTCTTTACTATCACAGTTACAAAGGAATATGCCAAAACCCAGTGCAGAGAAACGAAGGTAGGTTACTTATCAATTAGTTAATAGCTTAAACATACGTGAGTCTGATACAGTCAACTCCCTCTAAGACGGACACCTTTAGGACCGGCAGTAAGTGTCCGTCTCAGAGAGATGTCCGTCTTGTAGAGAGTCAACTAAAGGGAGTAAAGAAAGCAGGGACCAACTCTAGGTGTCCGTTTTACAGAGGTGTCCATCTTATAGAGGTGTCCGTTAAGAGAGAGTCGACTGTATAAGTAAAGTAAATATTAACATCCTGTCCACGTTAGTTTTGTAGTTGATAGGACTGTTGTCAACAGTAACTGAGGTTTGTAAGACCTAAGTCAATATAATAGTGTATGGTCAGAAAGACTCTAGGACGGTATTGTCTGATTTGTCAATTTAGCTCAAATTTATTTGGTTGACTTCCTGGTGAAAGTAAATTAAATAATGGCATTGTTTTAAGGTGGAAAATCAACCAAGCCCTGGGCTTATGATCTTCATCATGCAAAAACAGTTCATTCCGCGTCATTTCGTCCTCAAACGGAACATTTATAATTAGAAATCATACAGTCATGTACGAAGTCCCTGCATGAGAAAGTGCAACCCTAAAACGCTATTTCTATTTATGTTGAATACTATTAATAACTGTGTATTCTCCAAGGCCTGAACCAGAAGCTGCAATTTCAAGTAAAAAGCAAAAAATTGATGTAAGTAAATATTTGTATTATTGTAAGGTAACAGAGAAAGTTGTCACGATCTTAAGTCTGATGATCGCTTAGGGCGTGAAACTAAAGTAAAAACTTTCTCCTTATAGGTTGGATTTCCACTGTAGCATAATTTTTACATGCGCACGCACGTACATTTTACGTGCATAAATAAAATAGAGACAATGTAAAAAGTGTCGCGTGTAAACGTAAAAGTTGAGGGACGTCAACTTTAACGTTTACGCACGGCCTTTCATACACTGCCTCTGTTTTATTTACGCGTGTAAAATTTACGTGCGTATGCACGTGAAATTATGCGGCAGTAGAAATTCACTATTACTGTTTTGTGTAGCTCTGCATATCGATGCATGGAGCGATCCCAGGAAAAGTTTAAAATAATAATAAATTAATAAGAAGAAGAAGAATAACAATAATAATGACAAAAATGACGGTGATGATGATGACGATGAACAATATGATAACGTGGGGAAGAAAATATGTAATTAACAACAGTCATGTATACTATGTATACCGGGTGAAACTCTCCTTCTCGTCTTTTCAGGCAGGTTTTCATGTATTTTTTTACCTTTTCTCTATAGACTGAAGAAATAGAGACAATGTCTACATCTGATGCCGTTGAAATGACAGCTCAGGACATAATCCCCAGGTTAAATAAAGAAACTGTAACAGATCTAGTTCTGGTCAGCATGTTAGCTCTGCCAGACAGCATCCCTTCACATTTCCACGACACCTACACGCCCATAGCGGCAGCTGGCGGTCAAGCCCAAGTGGTACATCTCGCACGACTTTTGGCCACTCAGATGAATGCTGCTAAAGTCGGGAAGGGTTACGAGAGAATGGAAGCCCTGAGAAAGGTACTGTTGAAATAACAATGAATTTCGGTTAAAAAAAAAAAAAAAAAAAAAAAAGATTGGCCATTTTAAGGCTGCGTGTGAAACTGGGTCATTGTTGCCTCGATTTGCATTGTGGGAGTTGCCCTAAACCTCTGTTTCAAAGCGAGGCTAAGTGCTAGGCCATTGCTATGAAAATGATTTTTTACTCTCGTCCAAATAAAACTCAGCATTTTCACAAGAAAAGTTTTGCACTTAGCCTCGTATTGAAAGCAAGGTATTTTGGAACTCGGAAATGATCTATTTGAAGTATCCGACCCAGATGCAGAACGTTAGACTTGCTGTCACACGCCTTGTTTTAACCATAAGATTACGCGAAAAATGGTTTGGTAGGCTAAGTTATTGATTAGGTGCGTAAGAAGCGATGTAGCGAAACATAACGCCGAGTTTCTCAATTCCTTTTCGTTAAACTAGTTCACGATTTCTTAGTTTCGATTATCTTGTACGCTTCACTGGAGCCATAGTATCTAGGAAATGAATAACAAACATTTGAAAAGTACTGCTGAGAACTTTTTTTATTTGGTAACACCATAGGGTTTTATCCACAGACTTTAAGTTGAACGCTTTTACACAGAATAATAAACAGTACCATATGAAAGTACTACTGAAGAGGTATCACTCAAATGGTAACACCATAGGGTTTTATCTACAGACTCAGAAGTTAGAACTACATACTAACTAAATAGCACCATGTGAAAGTACTGCTGAAGAAGTTTCATTTGAATGGTCGCGCTTCACACTGCTCTTCTAACAAACACATATCTCGATGACCGATCGTTAAGAAGTTAATTTATTTTAAAAAGAAGCATGCATGTGTATTTCTATTGTTTTAGGCTCAAAATGACCCCAGCATGAAAGAATCAGAGATCATGTCCATTCCTGTGATTGGCGGAGGTGCTTCATGGGGAAATAATGGAGCCGGTAACGAAGAAAACTCGATGGTGAGTCAGGATTTGTCGTCACAGCTTATTAGAGTTCTACCAACAGTGCATTTTACTAGGCAATTGATTTTTTACGAGTTACCGGCACGTGAATGGAGACGCGATTAAGTGTTTGTAAGCGTATCGGACTCCTGTTATGAAAATTTGGGGTTTGACGGGTAGCCTTAACTAGGCTGACACTAATGTAGAATTGAGAACCCTGGAAAATTCGAATCTCCTATTCCTTCGCTCTTTGTGTTTTGGGAGAGGTGCTGCGTGATGACACAAAAAAATGCCGGCTAGAAAGCTCTAGACCGTTCACGACCCGCTATTTTTTTTTCCATGAACGCCCAATCTGGACGTGTGTGCCAAAGCGGCGCGCCAGGGTTGGGGTACGAAAAGCGAAAAAAAAAAACTCACCCTCTACCCCTACCCCCTCATGGATCACGCTCTTTCAAGTTTGCGCAGAGAAAATGAAACGACTTAAACACTTAACGAAAACTCGAATTTATAACTTTTCTTACAGGATTCCTGTGAAACACCTCGGCGGTTCTTGTTTTAATACCTCCTCTTGAAAAATTTCTGGAATTTCGTCATAATATCTGACGACTAGGGTGTCAGTAGAGGCTGTTCAGGGCCTGTTTACATGGAGTTGGGGGACCACAGGTAGGTGAGGTAACATTTGGCGGGTCACCCCAGCTAACGTGTAAACGTAATCATATTAAAATGAGAGATTATATGGACAGGCGGGTTACCTCACCTACCTGGGGTCCCCCACATCCACGTAAACAGGCCCTCAGTCTTCTTATTGGGAAATCTACCCTCTTGCGTATATCATTAAAATGCTCGATTTGCCTTAGTCTTTGTATCCTGGAAACCTCTTGGAGTTTCATTTGCCTTAGACTAATTAGTCTAACTTTGTTCCACGTTGTCTCTCTTTACCCAGGAAAGAGTTTTTGTTGGAGGGGGAGAGTTTTTCTCTAACCCCCTCCCTGGGAGTTAGTGCCACGAGCTATTTATGTCCTTACCCCAGGGGGCTTAGTTTGTCGATTTAAAGGATAATTAAATTAGTTGCATCTTTCCCCCTTTTTTTCTTTAGTTTATGTATGGTCAGGCTAAACCTGATGAGGATTCAGCACTTAAGAGAATGCTAGGTATGTTAGATTTAATCAAGGCTACAATGATCGGCCAGCTAGCGCTTAGTAGGCTCGATTACAAGCCGCTGTTTGGAAAAAGGGACCCGCGTTCATCCCCCTTTATCTTTATCTTCATCCCCCTTTATCTTCTGACTTAACGCTGAAGAGCGGCGGAAAGAGAGCCTATGATTATTTTGAGTCAATTTTTGTTAGTTAAACGTCTGAAGGAAGAAACGTTATTCGCACTTTGTGCCATTGTTAGTTTGTTATTGCCTATTAAGAGCACTCCACCTGCTCATGATTTTTGATCCCTTGTCTTTCTTGGAATTAAATAAGCGCCGTTACTTTTTACGTATTGTTAAGAAACAAGTGTCCGTCTAAGGCCTGGTTTTTACTCGCGCATAAACGTAAGCGTAAGCATAAAGCACGAGCACACGTGTAAGCAAGTGAAAACACCGGTGACAGTGCTTATGCTTGTGCTTGTGAAAACCAGGCTTAAGGCGTTGCATGGCTGCCTGCCGAGGAAAGTGGACGTGCACTTAGCTTCTCTAGCTTTAAGTTTACAGGCAGTGCACTCAAATAATTTGAAACCGATATTATAAACAGAACTAGGTTTGATAGCCCTAACTGACAGGAGGCAATCAGCTGGCTAGTCGCAAGCGTATCCAAGTATGTTAATTCGGTACAAGTTGTACGACCGACAAACAAATATAAGCGGTGGTCAGAGCTGAACTCGAACCCAGCAACGCCGGATTGCGAGTCGGACACGCTCACCACCCGGTCACGCTACCTCTTATTTATCTTATTATTATTATTATTTACTGTTTCTCACAGGCGGTCATTTCGATGCAACCAAAGAAAAAAGACCTCTGGACACAAAAAAGGTATCAGCCTTTGTATACAGCACACATGAGAGGATAATGTGCAAGAAGTTTTGCCGGCTTTCCCTTTCAAAGAAATCCCTGTTGTTTATTTGTATGTCGGTGAGCTGGGTCGGGAGCGAGAGGTCAGAATGTCAAATCTTGTCCACGTGGCTATTGCAGACAAATCGCAGGTTTTTTCGGTAGAAATGGTCGACTGTCGGCGATCATAATGTTTTGTAATTAACTTTCTTTGACAACTTCTGTTGTTTACTGTGGGCTTAACATCTTAATTTATTTTTACGTATAATCAATCAATAGTCATGGTTACTAGCCGACAAGCACGCTTTGAGATGGGGAAATGTTGTGGAAGAGCTCTTTTTCTCCCCCTACCCAAGCCCCTGAGCCCTGACCTTTCTCTCGGTAAATCATTTCGATTGGCCGGAATTGTAATGTAGCTTTATTACCAGTAATTTTTTTTTTGTTTTTTGTTGTTTTTGTTTTTTAACAAATGTTCAGATATATGCTTTCCATTTTGTAGACACCGTTTGTTCCGAAAGAGCCTCCAGTCCCACAATTGGTAGGTATCACAGTCAAGTCTTTTTAGGTTTCTGGGAAACTGCCCACCTACCCCTCCCCTTAGCCAACATTTTGCCCTAAGTGAGAAGTAAGTGATAATGTTACCTTTGGGGAGGGGTAGGTGGGGAAATTCCCAGAAACCTAAATTGATCCGTCTTTTTAAGCCGTTAAGTCCTAAGAGTGACCAACATTAATTTTTTCCCAACAATATCAGTGTATCATATAGAGAAAAGGTTTTGAGAATTATGAAGTTGATCGCTAAAGGAAAAAATGCTTTGATCTTCTATCAAACTCTCCCAACTAGTTCTTTAAGAATTTCTGTTTGGATATTTGGACTTGAAGGTTTAAATTAACCCTAAAGGACACCTCTGTAAGTAAGGCATCTAATTTTAGTTCCTGGTTGCCGCTAGTTCAGTTACTTATTTTATTTTAAGGGCTGGACTGTATAAAACACGGGAGCCTCTCTCAGACATACGCATCACATTAATCATGGTCCAAGTACAGATAAGGTCCAAGCAGTCTTAAGTCTGCCCATTTGAACTTAGTAGAGTTTCAACTCAGTTTTGTATCACTTACCCTATAAATGGGGAGAAAAATCATGTTTCTAATGGCTGGCATTCTCTAGCCTTCAGAACAGGAGTAATTTTCCTGCATTTTTCAAGAGAGCAAAGGCAAGCTCGAAGCGAGTGAGGAGCGCCAGGCGTGTCTCGCGTCTGGTGCTCCTCGCTTGCTTTGCGCTTGCCCTCGCTCCTATGAAAAAATGCGGGAAAGTTACGCCTGTTCTGAAGGCTAGTATTCTCCCCCTCTCTTATTCAAAGAAAAATCAGTTAAAATCAATGATTCAATCATGATGATAAAGAAAAGAGGCAAACCTATTCTCGGAGACTGCTCTGCTGTCGCTCCTTTTCGCTTGTCAATGGTAACAATGTTTAACAACCACGAGGACCCAGATCAGTTGCTCCAGACGATGGCATTTTTGTAGTTTTACAATTATACGAGAATTATCAGAAATTCGAAACAGGGCAAAAAGGCTCTGCAAGAAAATCATTTGTTGTGTGTTGTATATTTGTGCTTACAGCGCATGCGGAAAATTAAACCGTTCAAGTTATTCGACGTGACGAGAATTTTGAATCCAGCTGAGAGACAGAGAATGATGACGTGCGCAGTAAACAGAATACTTGCTGCTGAAAGTGAGTTAGGGACTGACCATTGGAAATAACCGGGGGTGGGGGGAACTAGTCTAAAAAAAAAATCCTGCAAGCGGTGATACCTAAAACCAATAAGTCATATGCCCTAGAAAAAAATTCCTGCAGACAAGCGGGCTTTTAAAAAAAATTGATGCACCAAACATTTTCCACCCCCCTCCGGTTATTTCTAATGGTCCGTCCCTTAGCGATCTCAAAACAGATAACTCGGGATAGTTCTAGTTTTCTCATCTGTTATTTACTAGTAAATCTTAGTGAGATAAGAATATATTATACTTTCCTGTTTTATTATAGACTAGTATACACGACCCCTCAAGCATTTTTACTTCTTTAATACTGCATGATCATGTGTAAACAAACGATATTCATTCATTCATGCTTACACTTTCCTCAAGTTAAGACAAGTATATTTATTGCGCACATTCATAGAAATAATATACATTCCATTTACGTGGATCCCATTTTGAAACTGCACCTGGCCAAACTTTTCAATTTCTCTCCTTTTGATGCTCATTGTAACTCATTCTTTGTTTGATTTCATCCTATTGGTCGTCTGGGAACAATTCGCGTGTGGGGAAGATTACAAAAATTACTATGACCTATGAAGCTACCCATAAACATAGTGTTTGTATTAATGGTGTGTTTCTTCTTGTTGTTGTTGTTTTATTTCTAGACAGTGCAGCACGAAGCGGTGTGATTCAGGTATTAAACGTGACTGAAGTAATTGATTGTTTCATTTAAGCTCCCTATCCCAGCACCCGGTAGGAGGGGTGGGTATTCTAGGGATGTTTGGGCTGGGTTGTTCCACTAGGATCCAGCTAGGATCCTTTCCTTTGCCAGTCCACGTTCAGTTGCAATTTTGCTCTCTTATTCTACACTGAACACCAAAAGTCCTCAGTACCCTGTCACAGACTAACCATAAACGGGGAACTCAAATTCTTGATGCCACGAATCAGTGTACAATAGTAATTTATTCTCACTACATTCCTATTACCACATCACGGTAAACTAAGTTATGGGAGGAGACCGCGACAACTGTGGCAACAAAGGTATGCAGCTGGAGGCAAGGGTAGCCGCGTCAACCGGCACCAGGGGAGGAGGGTAGGGCGACAGAAGCTTCCCTCACCGGAATGGGGGCAAAAAGACAACGATCGAGGTAAAACACGGGAGTTTAAGCAAAGAGACAGCAATATGCAATTCTGTATGCAGTGAGTCCATAAATAATAGCTTATTAATAAAGACCAAAACGGTTGGAGTGAGGGGGGGAGGGGTTGCGGTTCGTCATCATTTCAATTCCCAAGTTCGTTTAGTTAAACACGATCTTAGTCTTAATCGTTTATTTTCACGTTATTTTAAATATTCTGAATTGATTTTCATTATTTCTAGGAACGGATCAACGTTGTCGTTAGCCTAGTAACACAACTTGGAGGTGAAATAAAAACAGGTACAATCATTACCCCCTCAAGGCCAAGTATATTCTCTTGACCCTCCTCCCTATTCTTCCTGTGGTAATAACCCCGGGAATTGAAGGACAGCGAAAAAAAACTAAATATTTAGCCAGAGAAAGGCAAGATTTCCTCGTCAAATGTGAATTTAGCTGGGCTGTCAGTCAATGATGAGGATAACTTTCAATTTCAAAAGGGGAAGTGGACGGATAAGTTTTAGACGGGAAATGAAATCGTTATTGACCGAATTCATTTGAGACAAATTTTAGGTGTGTTTGACTCTGCGCCGGACAAGGTTGAAGAGACGAGAGGCACTCGACATCTTGACATAGAACCAGCCTCATTGGAGTCGAGACAGGGGTCGTTTCCAGCTCAAGTGGGACAGTCTTCCGCTTTCACTTGTGCCTAAGACACGAGACAGTAGAAGGTTTAAACGTCGATCAGCGTCCCTGTGATCGACTCCCAATTTAAGACCAAAGTTAAACCTTTTTAGCAATGTCAAGTGTAAGATTAAATGAATTTGTCTCGTTTTATCACACAACAGTCCTTCAAGAGTTCATCCAAGAAGATATCCGGGCTCGTTACGATCTTCTGATGGCCTGGCTCTATCAGGAATACAGTGCCTATCAAGTCGACGCCATGGAGGATGACAGTGAATCAAGTCAGTCATACAGTGACTGTCTGCTCAATCTCATGGATGGATTATATTCCAAGTTAGACCCAAAAGACAAGTAGGTTTGGTTGTATTAGGCGTACCGTTTTCCAAATTACGATCAGACAAACCTCCTAAATTTTGCTGAAGTCAGTCAGTCGTACAGTGACTATCTGTTTAGTCTCATGGATGGATTATATTCCAAGTTAGACCCAAAAGACAAGTGAGAGTTCTTTATCCAGTCTGGTTGTATTAAGCCCTTGGCATTCCGAACAACGACCAGAGAAACCTCCCTAATTTTGACCAAAAACGGGCGCAAAGGTCTCCATATTGTTTGAAGATTTATACTACCAAAATAGTGATTGCATGATGATGAAGTTTGGCGTCATTAAGGCTTAAAAATGCTGTCCATAATTAAGCGCGGTTCTAAAAACATGACCATTTTCCCGTCATCTGAGCCCAGAAGGCACTTGTCTCTATCGCTCAATCACACCTTGTTTGCTCCCCAACATTTTGTCTAACCTTTGTTTTTCAAGTGCATTTTGGGATATTTGCAAGTGGTGAATGGCCCTTATGCATGATTACGTCAGACGTGCCAATTTCACCACCAAGCCCCCGTCGTTTGTAAGCAAAATTCGTCGCATTTGCACTCTTTGTGCGAGGGTATTCTTTTCAACCCTACTACCTTGTCAATTCATTGATGTAAAACTTCACAACTTTACAATTTCAACAGTAGGCGTGGCAATGAAATTTTTCGGTTTGGCGTAAGTTTGTATAAGGGCCATTGATGTAGCGCGAGTTGTCGCTCATGTTTTTTTTTTTTTTTACTGTTTGGCTCTGTTACAGGTTGTTTACACGCATCCTGTTGGATATTCCTTCACTTACAGACGGTGCAGTGATGGCTGTCAGAATGTACTGCGAGGACTTGGTTAGTAATGAAACACGCAGGCATTATTCTTGAAATCGTCCTCTCCGATTCGTTTAATTCATGCACTCATCGTTGTTTCTCTAGGAACGTCTTCAAGTTGGATTTTCCACCATAAGAGAATTGATCTTAAAGCGGCCCGCGACCCAACTGCAGCTGCTGGAGACTTTGTTGGAACTGACCACAAATGAGAAGGAACAAGTCCGAGTTCAGGCCATTCACTCTGCCAAAAAACTTCACATAAGACCCGAACTAGCTGAACATATCGAGGTGAGTGTTTGTCTATGGCTATTCTAAACATCACTTAAGGAAAAGACTGTCTATTCCTCCTTCTAGTCCCGGCTTCAGTTCCCATTTTCTTACCTTTCATTATACTATGAACATTTTTTTATGTTTAGAGACCTTTCGATTCGAGAACGACAATGAGGGCGAGATTTGCGTATTCGTAAAAAAATAGACACCAAGAAAGCTTCATGGTACTTTTGAATCATTATGCGTTTCTGGCAAACTGCCCACCTACCCCTCCCCTAAGCCAACATTTTGCCCTAAGTGAGAAGTAAGTGTTAATGTTGGCTTAAGGGAGGGGTAGGTGGGTAGTTTGCCAGCAACGTATAATGATGCGTACTTTATCACCAGAAAAGCTAGTATTGTTATCTTTATTGAAGGAGGTTAAGCTCTCTCCTGATAGCAACACGATAAAACTTGTAATATTTGATGACTTGTTTCCGCTACTACGACGTTCTAGCTAAAACACGTAGTAGAATGATGACGGCTACTATCGCGTTTCCCGCCAAAACAAGGATCTTACGAAACTACGACGGCGACGACAAAAGGCAATAGGTTTAGTTAGCAAAACAACAACTTTGCACGTGCATTACGCTTTTTGTACATTTCTTAGCTGTCCGTGCACGACTACGACATAAAATGACTTCATTTTAAGGTTTTTTGAGGACGGGAATGGCAAGGCGATAAATTCTACCGTCTCTGTCTGAACTCAGGCGCGTCCCCCTCTCTTCAGCTCCAACTAAACTTTTTAATTTCAGAACTATGCTCTGGGCTCATTACAACAGCTGCTCGCTGATCATCCGCCAGCCCCTCCTGGACAAGATCCCGATGAAGGTAAAATTTTTTAATGTAAGCTGATTGCTCGTACAGTATGCGTCAACGGCAACTAAAAAGAACCTCCATTAGCGTATTCTTTAACTGCTTTGTTTGTTTGTTTGCTTTTCCTGCAGAGGTCGCTCCAGGCGAGTGGACGGATGACACCATTAAACTTTGTCTTTATTTGTACCTTGCCCTTCTTCCACAGAATCATAAGTTATTTCATGAGTAAGTCCGATGCTAAATTGTCAAGTTAATCTTCTCTCAAAACTACAATAGTGCGTTGCCGCTTTAACATTCTTCTAATTTGTCTGTCTACTTCCCTTTTCTCTCCAGACTCGCTCAAGTTTACACAGCCTCCTCGCAGATCATAAAAAGAATTATTCTAAGACATCTGGAACATCCCGTAAGTACTATCATTCAGTTGAGTTTGTTTCGTATTGTCAACCCTGGACTTTTCAGCATAAAGTCAACTCTGTCTACGGAAACCGCTGGAACAAGCACTAGCTGTCCGTCTTAGAGAGGTGTCCGCTTTAACCCTTTAAATAACCAGCATCAACTTTCTCTTTAAAATATTAGAAAACTTTAGATTCTGAGACGAGGAAGACTACGAGTACGAGATTTTCTCAATACTAAGTAGTGCACACGCGTGAACCAGCGTCATTTTGGCGGGAAAACGTGATAGCCGTCGTCGTTCAAGGTTATCAAATTTTAGAACTTTAACCATTTTGCGACCGGGAAAGGGCTTAACCTTCTCCAATAAACATAACCTCCCTCTTTGCACAATAGAGAGTTTTAAATCGGAGTTTGCCACGAACCTCTAACCGCGGTTTGCGGTTACCCGTTTGCGGTTCGACGTTCACACATAATTCCAGTTAGATTGGCGGTGGATTAGATTACGCCCGCCATTTTTTCAAGATCTAATAGGATTTATAAATTTAGCATTTCGCCCGAATTTGTGCCTCTGTTAATGGATAAAGACTTGCTCCACAAGATTTTTGTATCATTACGTGGGATAAAACAAGAATTATACGCTAAAAGCTTTCAGGTAAATGACATACGTGAAAACCTACCTCCCCTCGTTGAAAACGAACGTCGTAAACCTCAAACGTGACGCGAAAGACTTGTCACGTGACCTCCAGCGGTTAGAGGTTCGCGGGAAACTCGAATCTAAAACTCTCTAATGAAGCTTTCCGGGTTGAATATTTTTCGAGAATACGTGAAAATACTTAAAGTTAAATGTCGTATTAGTACTCGTCCTCGTTCTCAAATCTAAAGCTCTCTTTTAAAAAATCAAGAGACAAGGTAATGAGAATTTATAAAATAATCACCTAAGGTAAATGCTTTGATTTTTAAGCAAATATTTCTCAAAAAATTCTTTAAGGAATTGTATGGATATCAGTGTAGAGAATTTGTATGTGTGGATACTGGGGCTAAATAGAGTCAAGGAAAGTGACTGAAGAAAGGTAGAGATCAACCATAGCTCTGCGTTATGAGAGCTGACTGTAGTACTATATTTTTCGTTGACGCCTTTACGTTTACTGTGTCCTTAGGTGCGTGCGATTGGAATGGCTTCTCCTGAACTCCTACAATTGGTTGAGAACTGTCCAACAGGAGCTGAAACACTTATAGCCAGGATCCTCAATATTATAACTGACAAAGGTAACGAAATGTTTGGCTTTAATTTAAGCTCACAATATCCTCAAATAAGAGAAACGTATTTGTTAGATATACTTCCTTGATCAAGAAACCTACTTTTAATGGTCACCGATAGAAAGCCGTCGCGCAGTTAAATACTCTTCAGTTCAGTCTGACATTGCGCCAGAATTACAACTCTCAAACTTTTGATACAGTGAGTAACTTTTTTGCATCAATTTTCTCTTCCAGCGGTACCCACTGCAGAGCTTGTAAAGCGAGTCAAAGAACTTTATCACAAGCGCGTATCTGACGTAAGATTCTTGATTCCTGTGTTAACTGGCCTGAAGAAGCAGGAAATTATCGCCGTGCTGCCTAAACTGATCAAACAGTCGCCCAGTGTTGTTAAGGAAGTTTTCAACCGACTGCTCGGGTGTTTTCACAGTAAGTGATCGGAAAGTAGTCATCATTTGAGCCTACTAGATCTCACAAGACAAATAGTTCTAGTAAAATTGTATACCCCATGGGGTCTCGTCTGAAGATTCGAGAAACAAGGTTGCATGATGTGATTGCAGAGTTTTCATTGGCTTCAGTAGCTGTCATGTTTAGCGATCTTTGATTATGTCCAACGAAATATTTATAATCATAGCTAAGAATATTAAACTCATGGGTGTCTGGATATTAGCCTGCGAACGCAGGCCTATTTCCGTTCGTCGCATCTCTCCACCCGCAAAAGTAACTTTCTGGATATCGGATAAAACACTTTTTTTCCTTTTTTACACTATCCAATGACTGCCCACTTCCCCCCTCAGGCTCTTCGTATTTCCCATAGAGGCGAGCGCGAAACGCGAGTGACACGCGCGAGTGACTGGCGACGAAGTGCAATGGACCATGGGAAGGATGAAGAAGCGAGGCGAAGCGACTTCTCGTCCGTTTTCTCGTTCCCGCCTTCCCAAAGACCTTACATTGTGGTTTCATGCAAACTTATCTCTTTTTCCAGGTGACTCGAAGGTATCCGCAACCAGTCCCCTCAGTCCGTCGGAGCTGCTTGTTGCTCTACATCAGATTGAGGCCAAGAGCGACATGAAATCTGTTATGAAAGGTACTTTTGTTAGCTGCGGCTGGTTGAAAGTATCTCGCCTTTGCTTTGAAGATATTGTAGTAAATGAGTTAAATTACTACATAAACCATTGAAAGGCATCTGTACTCTGCTTGTAATTCTAGCGAGTTGTTATTGTGCTTAATGGTTGAGCACTAGAAAAGAAAAAATCCTCGCCACTTTCTCTGACTGAATCAGTCTTTTCCCTTTTAAAGAATTTAAAACAGCCTTTGTCGGGAATCCAGCACCAGCTTATTGGGATTGAATACTTACTCAGCAGCTCTAGGGTAGGCTGAGCAGCAGCCCATGCGCCTGCAACGCAGGTTCCTCCTGGACTTCCTGGGCATATACCGAACCGTTCCAGAACCATTTATATTCATTACTTCTGATTGTCCCTAATAGTAAGTCCCCCTGTGCCGTCTCGTTTTTGTAGTAAACTTTGCCTGCTATAATTCCGCCTGTTACTATTCCCTCCTTATCAGCGTTTCCTCAGTCTCAGAAGGCGATTTATACCGTAAAGCCAATTACTATTTTTTGTCCACACGCAGCTAGCAGCTTGTGTTTTGCGGAGAAGACTATTTACACTCAAGAAGTGTTGGCAGTGGTTTTACAACAACTGATGGAAATGAATCCTCTCCCAACCCTGTTCATGAGGACGGTAATTATTTCTTTGCCAGTATGGTCTGATCAGTATACATACCTTCATATACACCTAATTCAAAAAAGGTTGCTTTGGAAATTCGCGACTGTAGAAACCAGAAGGGAACTGGGCCGAGTTAACTTTCGCAAAGACTTTTGGGATCTTTAGTGGGGACGGGAAAAGAAAGTGGCCAATAGCTGACCAGCGCGTCCCCAGTAACGATCCCAGAAGCCTTTGCGAAAGCTAACTCAGCCCAGTTTCCTTCTCGTTTTTAAAATGGCGAATTTGCCACTGTAGAAACGGGAAGGAAACTGGGCCGAGTTAATTTTTGCAAAGGCTTCTGGGACAGGAGAAAAAATTGGCCAATAGCTGACCAGCACGTCCCTAGTAACAATCCCAGAAACAACTGCGCTGTTCTAGTCCCCTTCTCGATTCTGAAGTGGCGAATCAATTGATTATTGGCGATTGGGTGTTTAGTTACACAAAACTCACTGCAATGAGTTGCTTGAGTGACCACCAAACAATAGCTTGCCAGTGAGCAATTCCCAATGCCCGATGTAACCTTCTTTAAATCAACTAATAACATGGACCTTCTAGGAAAGCTTTCGATAAAATGACCAGAATCCACGTCAGAATTTATTGATAAATCACCTCTCTTTTTTTTGCTTCTTTGCAGGTGATCCAATCTCTCAGCATATGTCCTCGATTAGTTGGTTTCGTTATGAACATACTCGCTAAACTGATCACCAAACAGGTAAAAGTTGTACCGTTGATAACTTTCCGATATATGACCTTGATTTTTTGAAAGCTTTGCTTTTCTAGTAGCCAGTACTGATAAAGCTGGGGTAGAGACCGTTGATTTAATTAGGAGTTTAAGCAAAGAAGTTTCTCAGCGACGCGTGTCAACTGGAAGCGGGTTTTTTGCACAACTTCGGCAGTGGTTTCGCTTACATTTCTGGGCAAGTCGTCCCAAAGCCACTAAGCATTACGAATTTGGCAGTTTCAAGATATGTTAAAGGGGAAAACCCCTCACGTCCGGTCGATGTGCGTCACTCAAAAACGCCTTTGCTCAAACTCCCTAGTGTCTGTGATCGCCTTTCATTCTTGTCTCTTCATTATGCAGGTCTGGAAACAACCGAAAGT